TCAGATAAAAGACACGTTAATGGGGCTCCAGGCCTGAGCGAGGTTCCCCGCCGGATGCCACCAAAGCTCCTGCTGCGGCGGGCGCGTCAAACGCTGGGAGTCGCAGGGCACTCACTCCGGCTGAGGCCTCGGTCTCGGCGTCTGGAAGGTGGGCGGCTCGCCCAGGCCTTTCCTTCCCGCCTCTGTCGTCGCGTCCTGGGCTCCCGGGCCCAGGGCCGGACATACGGAGTATCGAAGCCCGTGTGTTCGTGGTCGGCGGAGCCAGTGGCCAGGACCACCCCTAAGGCGGCTGCCGGAGGGGCCCCGAGGGCATCCCGCTGCAGCTGCGCAAGATCCTTGGCCTGGGGCCTCCGAAAACCGATCCCTAGTTCCGGGGTCCGCCGCCGCCTCTCTCAAAGGAAAAGAGCGTTGTGAATTAAATACATATTTACATTTTTTTTATTGTCAGAACCTCCTTTCCGGGAAGGGCCAGAGTGCGCTCGGGCCGCAAGGGGCGGGGGTCTCACTCTGGTGCCGGGGATGGGAGCTGCAAGGCGGGAGTGGCGCTTGGAGCCCTCTGGAGCGCCGCGCCAGACGCGGGTTTCGTTGAGCCAGGGAAGTCCGCAGCTTGCAGTGCACTGACCCGCACGGTCAGCGGAGTTGGGTAATGGGGCGTCCTCGAGCTCCCCAGAGCACCCTGTCCTCCGCCCGCATCCTCCAGGGGGTGGCAGCCCGCAACCTGACTAGCGAGGCCTCAGTTTCCCCGACTGCAAACTTTGGGACTGGCTCCGTTTCCTCACTACTTCTTGGGTGGAGGCGGGTCTCCTGAAAGCCCAAAGAGGAGGGGCAAGGACTTGAAGTAAGCGGGCGCATTCGTGTCCTCAGCTCCTTCTGACTGTGCCTCCAACTGAGCCTCGCGGTATTTACCTCTACGTTGGAGGCTCCAGCCTCCAGCCCAGCTCCGGATCCGCACTGGACCCATAAGGCACAAAAGATGCGAAAGCAGCCGGAAGGGGCGGGAGGAGAGCAAGCGGACCTCGGGCGCCCTGGGATCCCACAACCCCCCCTCCCCCAGCCCTTGCGTGTTTCTTTCCAGATGGGGAAACTGAGGCGTGGAAAGGGCAGTGCGGGCCGAAGCCCCGCAGTCCAGGCCCCCACGCCTGCCAGACCTGACCACGTCCACCCACCCCCGAGTATTTGGGGGGAGGAGAAATTCCCTCCGCTCTTTGTCCTTCGAACTCCGAACCCGCGGAGGCCCAGCTGCTGGGGGAGGGGAGCATGACGCGAGGCCCCTGACACACACACATTGCCCGCCACAGACGCCCAGTCCCGGTATCCCCGTGCAAACAAACGCCGTGTTTGCCGCTAGCGCGGCGGGCAGCGCGGCCCAGAAGCGATGAGGATTCGATGGAGCAGCGCGCCACGGCGGGGACAACGGAGCTTGGGCGGGCGCGGGGATCGATCTGGAGCAGCTGTCGTCAACACGCCCGCAGGAGCATCCAACCCGCGGGCCCGCGAGACCCAGCGCCCCCCGACTGCAGGCAGGAAGCTCAGGACGTCCGGCCCACCGAAAGCGAAACTCCAACGTCGCAGCGCCTCAGGTTCAGTGCTGGGAATGTCCTCGCGCCTAACGTCCTAAGAATGGAACCTTGGAGCACCCTGTGCGCAGCCTCCCCGGGACTCTGGCGGGAAAATCCTAACCCTCTCCTGCTCCAAATCGAAATAAAGTCCTCTGACCCCGCCGCAACGAAGGCGCAGGAGTTGAGCGCAAGGACGCGGCCCCGCCACCTGCGCACGGGCCAGGATTTGGGGCTTCTGCAGGTTTGGGGGCCTAAAGCTGAGAGCGGATCTCGGGCTCCGGCGGAACTGGGGGGAACAATAATTGTCACTATTTATCAAAACCTCGCTCTAATAAAAGAAGGGGTGCGCAGGGGCCGGTGATTTTCATTTCCGTGGGAGACAAGTCGAATCATAGAATCAGACGACAACCATGGAGGGGCTTTGGAGAGGAAAACTTTAGGTATATTCCGCCCCCCACACACAATATTTTTGGCTGGGATGCGGGAGCCAGAACAACAGGGAACGCGGCCTGCCCAAGAAGAGGAGAGGTGGAGGGTACTGATTAAAGATTACAGCTTGGCAGCGCTGTGTGCGGGTTATGGAGATTGAAGCGGTGGAGAAGGCTGGGACCCCAGGGCGGGGAGGAAACCCGAACCCCAGCCAGTCCTCCCGCTGCTCGCTGGACACTTGGAGCCTACGCTCTTGGTTCTCCGAGGCCGCGGCTGGACACAGAGAGGGTGGGCGTTGGCTAGGGGCAGCCCAGCGCCCGCGGAAGCACGGTGCAGCGCACACCCGGGGTCCAGGGGTCCAACTCCAATTTTCCTGGAGGGGATACTGAAGCGGGAGAGCTTTCCCCACGTGGCCAAGGACCCCGCAGGGGCGAGAATAGGGGGCACCCTGCCTCCATCCAGCCCACCCCTCTGCAGCCGGCAATTTGCCTAATGACCCCAAATCGATCAGGCTCGAGCTACCAGCCCGCCCCGTGGCAGGCTCAATTCTATTTTACTAATTACTAAAAGGCCGCTGGTGGGGGAAGCTGGTTCTGGGGCTCCATAAGGCCACCTTCCTCCCTCTCTGGAGGTTGGGAAAATTTTGCTCAATCTCCCAGTGGGAGCGCAGCCTATATGGGGAGCGGAGACCCTCTCTCTAGGCGAGCCCAAGTCAGGGCCAGCCTCAGAGGGGTGGGGTCCTTCCTGCACCTGGCTGAAGCTTGCTCCTGGGGTCCAGGTGCATGTCCGAGGCTGGGGAGCTTAGGAGGTCCTGAGGCAGCAGAGGGGAGGGGGGGGTCCTTCTTCTCGAAGCCACTAGTCGATCTCTTTTCTTTCAAAATGGATGCTTTCCCCATCAGAACAGAAAAACCACACATGCTTGTTATAAAGATGAAAATGATCATTGAGCTGGAGGAAATATAGAAAGAAGGAAGCAAAAGACTGCATGACCGCGACCTCGCATGGAGCACCACTCGGTTGATATGTGGGGGTGCGTCCTTCCATCTTTGTTTTTTCACACATACACACACACACACACACACACACACACACAGAGACCCTCCTCCCCCGCCCCCAGCTCCCGCCTGGTCCCCGCTTTCTGGTCCTGGGAAACGATCATTTTATGAGGCAGATTGATTTTTAAATCCCACGATTATTTTTAATTATCTGTGATTGTTGGAGGGTGGAATTGGGGGGCCCAGGATAAGGTTCAGCACAGCCAGAACACCTCCCCCCAGACTCCAAATCTGCATGGGGAGTCCATACCCACTCCTCTCTCCCACCTCTATTTTCCCACCTAAAAGATGGGTGTAATGACTTAAAACCCGAAATTGTGTATAAACCATGGATTTGAAATGCCCATGGACTCCGGGGCAGTGTTACACTTGACAGAACATGAGAAAGAAGGGAGAGCCCTGCCGCTACCATTCTCTACCTTGGTCCTGAAACTCCTCCTCCCGGCTGGGTGAGGACAGAATATGAGTCTGGGGAAACAGTAGGCAGTTACTAAATGCTGAGTCCTCAGCACAAAGCACAAGCAGGGGTCCCCTTTAGCCCTATCCCACCCCAGAACGTGGATCAGGCCACTCTGCTTTCTGATCCCTCAGGCTGGGGGCCAGCTCATGCAGGCCCCCAACTCCCTGGCACACAGAGATGGCCTGCCCTCTCCACCTCAGCACAGTCACCCTCTGCTCTCAGCTGGGGCAGGCAGGGACGGGAAAATAAGACACAGAAAGGACCCTGCACAGACTTGCAATTCAGGCAAGTCCCCAAGGTGTAGCTGCACCTATCCGTTGGGGAGAATTGCGTTGAAGGTGGAGGAAGGAGTGCCCAAATGATTTGCATGGGGACTGCAGCAGAGGCCCTAATAGCTTTAACCTTCTTTCCTCTTCTGGGGGATGGTTCCCCTGGGGCAGATGTCATGGGGAACGAGGAAGGGGTGGGCTGATTTTGGGGGTTCCCTCCCTTCCCTTGAGATGGGGGCACCCTTTCGGGTCTGGCCTGGCTGTTCTAGACTCCCTCCCTGACCTGCATCTGGCTCCACTGGAGAGGCCTCTTGGGAGTCTCTCTGAGTGTGGGAGGTCCCCCACTTATTCCAGTTCTCAAGGGCCCCTGGGCCTAACCTGTCTCCAGGTAGTGAGAAGGAGGGCTTTCACTCCCCCCACCCAGATACCCCAGGGAAGGGGGGAAGTGAAGCAGGAGCTTTTGGAGGGGGACAGGGGCTCTTTAGGGGTCAGCTCCAAAGCGCTCCCACCCTGGATTTGGAAGAAAGAAGGAGGACCTGGAATTGGGAGGGGCACTTGGCACCATTGCCCATTGTACAGCTGGGGAAACTAAGGTCCAGGTACCCACACTCAGGAACACCCTGAGATCCAAACACCCTGGCAAACAGGCCCTGAGGACCTCTCTTTCCGCACCACTTCCCCCAGAGAGGTCTTGTGAGGGGGCTGTGACTCTGCGCCAAACGGTAGAAGCAGGTGCCTGGGGTCTGCGTGTGTGCTGGGACGAGAGGGGGACACGTGGATGGCAAGCCCTAAGCAGCCACAACCCCTGGAGATGGACTTGGGGGCGCTTAGTAGGAAAGTGCCCTTCCTCACCCTCTGCAGAGAAACACGGAATCACAGGCACGAAGAGGAGGCACCCAGCCCCACCTCGACAGAGTCTGTCCTCGGACCCCCTCCCGTTGTCCCCAGGCGGCCGGCGTGGCAGCTGAGGCGGGAGCTCCCAGGTGCCCCGAGTCTGGCCCCCTCCGGCCGGCTTGGCGCTCGAGGGGGCCGGGGAGGGCGGAGAGCGAGGCGGCGGGAGGCGGCGGTAAGGGGAGCGGGTGGGCGGGGGCGCTGACGTCAGACCCGGACCCGGCCGCTGGCCGCGGCTGCCCCGCCACATCCTGGTGGCCGTGCTCGCAGCCGGGCCGGTGAGCGAGCCGGGGCCATGCAACGGCCTTGAGCGCGCGCGGTGGGCGGGCAGCCGAGCATGGAGCTGAGCCTGGAGAGCCTGGGGGGCCTGCACGGCGTGGCCCACGCTCAGGCGGGCGAGCTGCTGAGCCCCGGCCACGCGCGCTCGGCGGCAGCTCAGCACCGCGGCCTGGTGGCGCCCGGGCGTCCGGGCTTGGTGGCCGGCATGGCAAGCCTGCTGGACGGCGGCGGGGGCGCGGGCGGCGCTGGCAGCGGCGCGGACTTTCGTGGGGAGCTGGCTGGCCCGCTGCACCCGACCATGGGCATGGCCTGCGAGGCGCCCGGCCTGGGCGGTACCTACACGACGCTCACGCCCCTGCAGCACCTGCCGCCGCTTGCGGCAGTGGCCGACAAGTTCCACCCTCACGCGGCAGCGGCCGGGGCGCACGGCGGCCACCCGCACACGCATCCGCACCCGGCACCCGCGCCGCCCCCGCCGCCCCCGCCGCAGCGCCTGGCCGCCAGCGTGAGCGGCAGCTTCACTCTCATGCGCGACGAACGCGCCGCGCTCGCTTCCGTAGGCCACCTCTACGGGCCCTACGGCAAGGAGCTGCCCGCAATGGGGTCGCCGCTGTCGCCGCTGCCCAACGCGCTGCCGCCCGCGCTGCACGGAGCCCCGCAGCCCCCGCCTCCGCTGGCCGCCTACGGCGCACCGGGCCACCTGGCCGGGGACAAGCTGCTGCCACCCGCCGCCTTCGAACCGCACGCCGCGCTGCTGGGGCGCGCCGAGGACGCGCTGGCCCGCGGGCTGCCCGGAGGCGGCAGCGGCGGGGGC